TACGACTGCTTATATATCTATTTCGAGTTCTGCGCCTACTGCGCTGTTCTATACTCTAAAACTAATAAATACATGAGGATTAAATAAAAGGAAACAAATTCGTCCGCATCGGGTGAAATCTGTTTCTTTTCTAGTGTAACTGACCCGATATATCGAAATCTGTTTCAATATTTGGTCTTACAAATATTGGAAATTCGTCGGAAATCACGGAGGAATACGTCGTGTTTATCGTAAATCTTGACAATGTCCTTGTTCAACTGCTTTTTGATACCACTCAACTGCCTTTTGATCATCCTTTCCTATTCCAATTCACATCTATAACAACTACCAAGATTACATTGTGCATCAGTATGTCCTTGTTCAGCATGTCCTTGTTCAGCGTGTCCTTGTTCAACATGTCCTTGTTCAGCATGTCCTTGTTCAGCAGCTTTTGGATCCATTCAACTGCCTTTTGTTCATCTTTTTCTACTCCAGTTCCATGTCTATATAATACACACCAAGATTATATTGTGCTTGAGCGTATCCTTGTTCAGCAGCTTTTTGACACCATTCAACTGCCTTTTGTTTATCTTTTTCTACTCCAGTTCCATGTCTATATAATACACACCAAGATTACATTGTGCACCAGCATGCCTTTGTTCAGCAGCTTTTGGATACCATTCAACTGCCTTTTGCTCATCTTTTTCTATTATATTGTATATCATGTCCTTGTTCAACAGCTTTTGATACCACTCAACTGCCTTTTGTATTTGTTCATCTTTTTCTACTCCAATTCCATACTAATAACAGTCACCAAGATTGTTTTGTGCACTAGCATTTCCTTGTTTAACTGCAGTTTTATATTCTTTGAAACGAATTTCATATTAATATGGAATCTTTTTTCTGTCTCTAAGATGGTAGAAGCCATGTTTATTTTATCTATTTTCTCTAGAATTTTAATAAATTAAGTGGCAGCACGTTGTTTATAAATAAACGTTTACGCATAGATGATTGTACTATGGAACCTGATTTATTGCTTGCGTTTGCAAAAACCGCTTGTACAACGTTCGTTGATATAATTAAACACCGATCCAGGACATGCCATTCTATTAAAGGAAGACAATACTCCTTATTATCAAAAATTTAAGATTTGAATGATGACAAACTTTCTAATATATTTACCAACATTCGATTATTCGTTTTAACTTTAAGGCATAGTCAATCACTATCGTGCGATGCAGGTCTATGCTTACAGCTTCCTGTCTTGTTAATCTCGTCGTTACTTTATTTCTTTTTTTATCGTTACGCATAATAGTGAGATGACACGTGTCGCTGGGCATGTTCAATGCTAGCGGGTAAATGTTTACTGTATGTCTGGCCTTCTATAATTAGAGCAATACAAGCCAAGAACGTACTGTATAATGAATCAGGCGTCTATACTGGCATATAGTTTTATTAAGTACTCATAAATGTGCAATAAAAATTATTGTAATAGAACTAATTACACCAGCCCACATGGAAACAATAGCGGTGTAAAAGAACTAGTCTCTTATTGTTACATTGGGTAGGCAAAAGTTATGTATTTGCCGCGCACGATATAAATCTAAAATCTCGTCACCGTATCTAACCCGTTTTTAAACTGGGTTAACAATAAATTTGACAAACTAAATTTATTAAATTGCGGAACAAGTAGTCTTAGCATTCCGGGAAGTGAATTATTCAACGAGTTATCGAAATTTGCTCCTACTTCTACCTATGGACTGAAAGATTATCGTATTATTTGTTTTCTCGCTTACGTTGCCTGTCGGGATATACTATCCAAATATAATCCATTCTCCGATGTGTATGACGTAAGAATCAATAAACGAACAATCACAATGCAGATTGTTAATTATTAACGACCCCTTAACACATGTTTACAGATAGACAAGGTTTAGATTCGCTTTGTTTGTTATAATTGCCATATATGTATGATTGTCCATTTATTATCCCTCGTTACAATGTATCAAGATTGGTACAGGATAATTTTACACCTTGGGCAATTAATAGTAGATCAAACGTAAAGAGTAGCTATTACGCTTCCTTAAATTTAACCTAATTGCTGTTTAAGTTTGGGAGATGAACAATATACTATGAATACAGTAGTTATCATGGTAATCGATTGGATCAGCTTACGCATGCCAGGTACATAAAAAAAAGGGGAAATTGTCTGTTTAACAATGACTGTTATTGCGCAGCCGATTACATTCATTATTCATATCTAACAGCTGTATCGACTGCGATTAGACAACACATGTCATGGATGCACGTATGGCCCTCCTGAACGTCCGTTGCTACCATGGGCAGATCCGGCACGCTGTAAGAACACTCTTGGTTGATTGCGCTATTTTCACTATCGCTATCGTCGGGTTCTCCATCTCGAGACTTTCTCTGGTTGCATAAAGACACAGGGCGGGATTTTTTGCTTCTTCTTTTGGGTGTATATTTATATCCCGGATTGTCTTCTTTATGTTGTAACAATGCATAATATGCGATAATCTCGTACAACATCTTTAGCTCAGAATACTCGTGCCAGAGTACACGTGCTAATCGATTGAGGGCGATTCCACTTAGCTTTGACTTTTTCCCATTGTCATCGTCCCGCGTATTGTTGTCGACACTCTCCTTTTTCCGCTTCTTGGTATAGATTACTGGTACATTAGCTTTGAATGGCTCGGATTCATAGCTTACGACAGAGGGCATAGACTCTTCGACAGCTTTGTAGCCACCAGCTTCTTCCATTTCGACCCCAACAATGGATTCTTCGACTCTGCAGCCTACTGGTACCCCTGCCGCGAAGGTAATGGGTTCTCCATGTTTGCCTATGGCGGTCGTTTGCTCTTCGGGCTCAATGAAAGCTAAAAACTCCTTCACGCTTTCATAGATTTGTTGCATTTTGTAGTCGTCAAGGTCAAAAAGGATATGGAAATCGTCTGTATTGATTTCAACTAAAAGGACACGCTGTCAGTTATTTGTTGGGGGGAGACATTTGTAGTGTAATTACCGTTAAGCATTCATACTCACCTTTCCTGCCAGCGATAAAGTTACGTACGAAAATGGTATAGGCATTCTGAGGTCTCGGAGGACCGGCCTCCTTACGTTGTCTTATCGCTGGCCCTAGCAACTCTCCCTTCTTAAAACCTAGGCGAAGGTGAAGTTTATGATGCAAGGCCTCTACGATTCTACAGATAGTGTCATAGACCTCATGTTTATCGTTAAATATCAAAGACCAATCTACTTTATGAGATACATCACTCATAGCGTTTTCAAACAAAAAACTTATGGTTGCTAAGCGACAATGAAGAGAGGTAAAAGGTATATTCGATTGACATTGTCTCTATTTATCTTTGAATGCTTCTTTCAAATTCTACTATTAAAGGTATTTATTCAAAGGGTCCATTCTAACGTATAAAACCGGGTAACTGAGAAGGGGGGGGGGGTGTGGAGATAACAACACATGGTATATCACAAATGGCCATTCTAATAGTTTGCCTTTTTGCAAGGCCTGTGTTTATTATTAGCCAGTTGTGTACTGCGGGCAGTTGTCAGTGTGTTTTGAGAGTTCACTACTGGTATTAAACATGGAATGATCACAAGAAGCAGGATCAATCCTTGTGAATGTAGACGGAATTGATGTCGTGTTATCCATACGCTTCCTAAGGACCTTCTCCATAGACTTTTAAGACCACTACGCTTCCACCATAGATTTCCATTACTTGCTCCCCTATTTTTTGTCACACGATTGAGTCTGCGCAGTATTACGCATTATGACATGGTTTGGTTTAGGCCTGCGAATTTGAACAAATATAGTTGGATCAAGATACATATGGTGAATCTTATTTCGCTTATAAAAACTGCAGATTTCACACTACAATCCCTCCTACTTTGCTTGCAGTTATGTCCTATGAACAAGAACCACTATTAAGTGCTGATCCAACCCATGACTTTTATAACACAGCCGAGAGAGATATAATAAGAAGACGCCGATATGGGTGGTATGAACGCTTTCGAAGATCCCAAACGGCAGTTGTGTTGATTGCGGCTATGGCCTTATTTACGTATGTATCATGCGAGACATGATGATAAATACCTTGTTTATGTTGTAAACTGACAAAAAACCAACTGATTTTAGGGATATGGTTGTCTATGGAATAGTCGTACCAATATTGCCTTTAATTGTCAAAGAAAGACTTGAGCTTGATTCACAGGCGGTTGGGTTCCTGTTTGGTTGTTACGGTAAGCTTTTATTGGTAACATAATATACAATTCCCACGACTATGCAGGTTCCACCAAAAATTATCAGATTATCAGATTGCATTCTTTTGATGTTTTCTTGCTTACAATGCAATGGATGCTCGCTGAACTATAAATCTCTTTAAGCACTTGGGCTATTGGGGGCTACACCTTTCTTTGCCATACTCAGTGACCGTTATCATACTCGCAAGGTAAAGAGAAAGGATATCACCTAGTATGTTGAGAGAGTCACTAAATGCTAATCCTTTATTCAACATTCAGTTGCCAATGTTACTGGGTATGGGTAGCCTTGCCATTTGCACGCTCTTTTTTGGAATTGCCAACACATACTGGCAACTTGTCATCGCACGTATTGCTCAGGGTGCGGCTGGTGGAGCATCATGGTAGGGTAAACTATTACTGTTCGAAAGACTCGCCGGCGTATACATTGCTCTCGACTTACATTGCCAACAACGTATAGGACAATAAGTCTTGCAATGCTTGCGGATAGGTTCGGTCAAGGGGAGAAACTGGGAGTTGTCATGGGTACGGTATTATCAGCCAACACTATAGGTGCTATCACTGGACCGATCATAGGGGGAGCATTATACCAATACTGGGGATATGCGTCTCCTTTCATATTCTGTGCAATTTTAGCCTTCTTTGATTTTCTAACCATATTAATGATTATTGAACCACATGAGCTGCACGATGATGAACTACTCGATGAGCTACTCGATGACACTCAAGTGAATACCGAAGAGAACGTGACCCCAGTTGGAATAAATAATGATCTATCACTTTGGAGCTTAATCAGAGATTGGAATGTTATCACAGTTTGCATAGCTGTTCTAATGATTGCAAGTGTCTTTTCAGGTGTGTTTTTTTTTGTACTATGTATCGTCAACACACGTCAATGCCAATATTATACAACTGGAAACGTTTCTCATATACGTTCTATCACATGCACCCCATCCCCCCAGGCATTGAACCCATTCTTCCAATATACCTCAAAGAGAGATTTAATACCGACCCAACAACCATCGGCTTTATCTACATTTCGGTCGTTATTCCCACAATAATATCCCCTATCGTCGGATCTTTGTCACAGAAAGTAGGCCAGTGGCTATTGATCAACGTGGGGATGATCCTACTTGCAACATCTTCTGCTCTAATAGCGTTACCATTCGCTCTGGAATTGATCATAGCTTCTTTAGCATTCTTTGGTGCTGCATATTCGGTGGCAAGTACGCCGACGCTCCCGCTGTTGGGCGAATTCGTGACCAAGAACGGAGGGGGCGCTTATGGGCAAGTGTACGCTCTTTGGAATATGGCTTACTCGATAGGAATGTTGGTTGGTCCCGTAATTGGTGGAGTATTATTACAGCATTTTGGATTCTTTTGGGCTATGATGTGCTTTGCCACAACACTCTTCGTTACTGCTTTATTCATAATGGGGGAAAGTTATATTTTCCTTTTGTTTGCAAATGCTGATAGAGGCATTCTTCCTGATAGTCCGAGTGCTGTAGCATTGATTCAAGACGATATCTTAATAGAAAATGTAGATTAATTTTCATATATTGTTTTTTTCTCGTAATATGTCTGTGTTCGCGACCACGTATAATAAACATTACCTCAAGAATCTAGAATCTCGTCGTTACTGAATATAATGGCATGAAGACGACGCATACCACAGATTTACGTGGGTATTAGTAATAGTGCTCAAGCCTGACTAGACAAGATAGTTTCCTGATAGCGATTATCAATATTGGGAGATTAGCCAGGAGCTGATACACTTATTGGTCAAGCATGCGCGTGAAGCAAACGCTGTGTGACATCCCTCTATTCATGGAAATCTTAAAGAGCTAACCGCAATAGTAACCATCAACGATTTCAGGGTATAGCCTTGACCTATTTTTTAAATCGAGTCCGTCATTTGTCCATATATAGCTCCCAAGGATAGTGCTCTTCCCCGTTTTACTATGGTTTACAAACAAAAGGTTTCTCGACGAATTTCTGTCTACTTTTTATTTGCTACATAAAAACAATTAGTTAAACTGCGCTTTTCTTATAAAATTTGCGGAGAGTCGCAATATGCATTCTTCTTTCTGATTCGAGAAAATAGAGAACTTCTCATCAATAAATATAAGTGTATGGTATTTAATATTACAACAGCGGTTTCACAAAAGAGATTGTAACCTCTGCATAATGTGTGAAATTATTTATTCATAATAATAACAATAACAACAGACATACGGTAATAAACATGACTTCTACCATCTTTGAGGATGAACATTTGTTCATAATATTTGGAAATGAACAAGGTGATGTTAATGCACAGTGTAATCTTGGTTTGTATTATCAGTTAGTAGAAAAAGATGAACAGAAGGCAGTTGAATGGTATCAAAAAGCAGCTGAGCAAGGATTTGTTATTGCACAGTGTAATCTTGGTATGCATTATCAGTATGGAACAGGAGTAGAAAAAGATGAGCAAAGGGCAGCTGAATGGTATCAAAAAGCAGCTGAACAAGGATATTCTCAAGCACAATCTAATCTTGGTTGGTGTTATGAGAGTGGAACTGGAGTAGGAAAAGATGAACAAAAGGCAGTTGAATGGTTTCAAAAAGCTGCTGAACAAGGATATGCTCAAGCACAATCTAATCTTGGTGTGTGTTATGAGAATGGAATTGGAGTAGAAAAAGATGAATAAAAGGCAGTGAAATGGTTTCAAAAAGCTGCTGAACAAGGATATGCTCAAG